CCTTGCTAAATGTCATCCAATCATGTAGCTGCTAAGCAGGAATTCTTGGTTCTTGTTCAAACCCCAATAAAACCCCTGCCATGCAGGTGCTTGGGGCTCTCCTCTCTGATCCACTGCTTTGGGTGACAGTGGAAAGATTGAGCTTAATCCTGAATAAAGCTCTTTGCTCTTGAATACGAGGTCCAGTTCCTGATGGTCTTTGGAGACCTTAAGATCCAGGCATAACATTTGGGGGCTCGTCCCAGATCCACAAGACCCTCTAGGATCTCCGGCATGTGGAGCTGAACACTGGCCTGTAAGTGAGCACTCTGTTTAGTTCTGTGTCTGTTTGTCTGTGTCTATCTCTGTGTTCTGTGTTCCTCTAGTTTCTGTTTTAGGCCTCAGAGCAAAATCTGTAATCTGTGTGGTTGGGAACAGTTAGAGTGGACGCGCTGGACAAATGGGGACCTGGAAGATTTCCAGACCCCTACTGAGGGGAAGAAGGTGTCCCTGAATTTCTGTAAAGAGTGATAGAGTACCCAGTTTTCTGTGATCTCTGGATAAGGATAAAGCGGATAGCTCCAGTTTGACTTTGCTGCTGTCCTACTTTCAGTTTTTCTGTTGCAGGAGTGATGTGTTCTGTTGTCTGGCTGTGTGTGTTTTTCTGCCACACAAGCGGCGGGATCTGGCTCTGTGTGTGTCTTTCTTTCTGGTTAACTGTCTTGTGTGTCACTGCCTGTTTTTTGTGAAGGCGGCTGACACCTTTTAACCCCCCTAGACTTAATTCTTGTCCATTTCAGGGAGGCTCAAGCCATGCTTCACAGGCTCCAGTGACCGTGGCTTGGAGGCACCAAGGGATGGCTACAGTATGTGGAGCCCCGGGCTTGGCGCCTCTGCCACTGCTGTGGCTTCTGGTCTGGCAGAGCTTGGCTGCTGCTTTGGCTTTTGGTCTGGTGGAGCTTGACAGATATGTTGCTGCTCCAGTGTCTGGTCTGGAGGAATAATAAGCTGACTGTCTAAAACTCTGGGGTAGTTGGGTGGAGCCCAATTTCAGGCAGGCCATCCCTAGTGGAACAGGATGGAGGGCTCATCTTGGGACATGCTGCTGTTCCATGTTTTTTTGTTTTTGTTTTTCTTCTTTTTCCCTTCTCCTTGTATGCATTGTACTGGTTCATTCCTGTCTTATGTTTGTGTGTGTGTGTGTGTGTGTGTGTGTGTTTGCTTGTGATGGACTCAAAAGGCTAGTGACCAAACAGCTGTGCACTGTGGCAACTTTGCCTGCCTATGCTCTCAGCACTACAAGCTAGGGCACCTCTCTGGTCACCTGTTGGGAGCATGTCTCAGGGTGGGACAGGTGGGAAACAACCAAGAGCGGGGCAGCTCGAGTTCACCCAGGCTGATGGGTGCATTTCTACCTGGATTGCTGGGAAAGCCCAGTTGGGGAAGATGGCTGGGTGAGGGGTGGTGTTGGCAACACCCATGGCACAGAGCCATCCCCACCCCAAGGGTTGCTGCCCTTGGGCGGCAGTGCTAGCTGGAATCCTGGGGCAGAAGGAGCTTGTGCCACTGCTAAGAGTGCAGCTTGTGCAAACCTGGCCTCCTGGAGGAAAAGTGGTGAACTTCCACTGTAATTGTGGCAAGGAGGCACACCAAAGGGTTGCATTGTGTGGAACCCTGTGAAACACTGCTACCAAGTCCCAAACCCCTTTGTAGATTCCACAGATAACAAAATGCTTGAAATTACAGCTGGATGAAGTAAGGAAAATTTTGTCTGTTTTGTTTTAAATGTATGCATGGCCATTACATGTTTATTTCTGACTGATCTTAAGTGGTTAATGTGCTGTGTATGTCTTGGTTATAGATTAACAGTTATTGGATATGTTTAAAGTTTAAATACAAATTCTTGTTTAGAACATATATGTGTATGTGTGTGTGTGTGTGTGTGTGTGTGTATAGATATTTAACATCTATAGAAACACAGATGTTTTTAAATAGCAACCATGTGGCCTGCCATGTGATGTGACTCCACCATCTCGAAATTGCCACTTGGTGTGGCATAGGGCAAAAAATTTATAGAACCTCTTAGTCATAATAAATTCTGTTTATCATCCTATCTCCTTTTATACTAAGAAGACAAGTTTCACTTAAAATTGGTGTTGATTTTAGAGACTGAACTGTTTACACTGCTAAAACATGCTTTTGACTTTTAAAATTATGGTTATGCTTTGTGACTTCACTCCTAAAAAGGGTACTTTATTTTGATATTGCAAAACAGATTTCTTTTAAAAATGCATTTAAGGCTATGAAACATTTTAAAGTTTATCAGGTATTTTATAATAATGTCTTTATGGATTGTATATATACATACATATATATAAAATATATGTTTTAATTTTTATATATACATATATTATATATACCTATAAGTAAATAAAACCTTGAATTCTATTTATAATATATGTAATTCATATATTTATAATATATTTAATATATTAAATATATTTATATGCTATATTATAGTAATATAATATTATATATTAATATATTTAATATTAATATATTTAAAATGTATTTATACTATTTATAATATATAACATATATTATAAATATAATTCAAGGTTTTATATACAATTTCAAGGATGTATTTTTGAGGCATGCTGTGTGATTTAACCCTGGTTTGTGAAGGTCTATTCAGATTAACAGACTGATTGGAAGTGTGTGCCTGGCTGTCAGTTTCTGAATGAATGAATTAATGCTGTTTCTTTCTGGTCTATAGATTTGGCATGGCCAGAATAGTTCAAGTAAAGTTTTTAAAATGTTCTATACTATTCTATTATGCAATTGGTTCTAAAACTTACTTGATTACAATGTTAGAACTCGGTTATGGGAAACTGTATATGCCTCACAGTGCTATACCAAGGGAGGCAAAAAAACCCACCAGCAATAACTAATGTCTGTGTTTTGAAATGCCTGCCACAGCCTGTAACAACACATGGCTGGCCAGCATGATCTGTGGTTTTATTGCCATCTTTATTGAGGACTGCCAGACGTGTTTAGTGATAAGTGCAACTTCTGTCCTTTAAGATTTTTGCTGTGCAGTCTTAATCATACAATGTGGTAGGATCAGCATGATTTGAACTGTATGATTAAAAGTTTTGTTTTGATTTTAGTTGAGAAATGTATTTAATGTTATGGTAATGACTGCAGTTGGTTACAAGATTGAGCTTTACCTAATCTCTTGCTTATGTTTTCCAGGTTAAGCCTAGGATAACTAGGGTAACTACAACGTTTGCCTATGTAGATCTACTTGAAATAGTAGATATGGTCCTAAAACACTTAACTACAGAATGTGTCAGAATTAGAGATTATAACATTTTGTTTTACAGAATGGAATTTAGAGCAGATAACTAAAGACAGACAGAGTAACTCATGCTGGCCTTCAAGCTTGTCAGAGATCTGTGGAATATGGCATTTTAACATGCGTACATAGATTCATTTAGCTTGTAATTTACCCTTCTCAGGTCTCTGATCTCATTGATGACTGAGCTAATGGTAGCTTTGCAGCTAAAGAGCAGACAGTTAGATCCACTGTTAGTTCAGTAGTCAGTTCATTAGCTACTATGTGGGATTGCATTCTATATATTTTATCAATCAATGAAATTTGAACTGTCTACATTATGATTGTAGATAGTAATGTACCTACCTGGAAATGGGACACAAGCAAGACACACAAAGAGGGAAACATCACTTTTCCCAACACTGAAACAGCAAATGAGTGAGTAAAACAGAAAACAGACAGATCAAGGTTCCAATTCTGCCAAAGGCTTGAATAATTATTCATTATCTGTTATTCATATTTCTGTAGGTTTTTGTGTTTATGAGTGTGAGAACAGGTAAATGAAAATAGAAAGGATATCACATGTGGGAAAAAGAGGTTTTAATAAAGGGCAGGAGAGAATAATATATGGCATGAAAGCAGAGAACAAAGTAGTGTAGCGGAAGAGGGGAAATAGAGGATGAGGGAGGGGTATGGGGGGGAAAGAAGGGTCAACCCAAATAAAGTATGTATGAAATGATAATAAACCCTATCGAGTTGAAACAAACAATAAGCAAAACAAATCACGGAATTATTTGTGAGAAACCAAGATTCTTGTGGCCCATTTTATGATCACTGAATTGGAATCTCAATGGTAAGCTATGAGAAATTGCTTGGTTTGTTATGTTTGAGAGTAGGGCTTGCTATGTAACTCATGCTGGCCTTGACCTCTTTGATCCTTTCTGTGCCAGTTTCGGAGTGCCGGATATACATATGTGTACCTTCCTGCCCAGTTAAAAGTTAACGAGCTTCACTGTTGTTCTGATACACATGGATGTGTGTATCCTGTCCTAGAGATTCTTACTTGTCTCTTTATGGTGAGGACCTACACATTAAAAAGCATTTTTTTCCAAGCACTGTTTGGAAGAACTAAGTAACAATGGAATGAAAATGACCCAAATCTCCATGGTAACATGTACAGTGCAGGGCCCAGCCAATACTAGAAAAAAAAAAATTAGTGCTCAAGCACACTTAGGAAATTGCAGCTTGTAGAACAGTCTGCAAAGGCCAAGCTCTTCAGTAGCCTGCCAGGTGTTGCTTCCTTCTGTTACACAGATAAACCTTTAGCTTGAAGGTGCAACTAACTACTCAAGTGAATTTTCTTTGCCAAGTCAGAAAGACCGAAAACATGTGCTTTACGTGTAGAAATACACCGGTACCTTCTCTTGGCTGTATCAAAGTTCTGATTGTAAGCACTCCTAGGGGTTTCGGAGGACTCAGCAACCTGGAATCTCTAGCTTAGCCACCTCTGCCAGGCTACGCGTGAGACTCCATGAAGCAGGGAAGATTCGAAAGAGTTAACAATCTGCGTGCGGCAGACTGGCAGCCAGGCCGGCCAATGAGGTATCTAAACCACCAGGCACGTGCGTCTGGTGTGGGCGGGTATGGTACAAAGTGTGCGGGAGGGCCACAGAGGCCTGGGGTTGAGAGGACAGCCAGGGTTAGACGTTTGGAGGAGGCGGGGGCTGCGAGGAAGCACGTGTCCGCATCCCTTTCTTCCTGTCCTTTATCCTTTTATTCTTAGGGTTTGATAGCAGCGGCGACAGCCCGGAACCCCGTGTATGGCCACGGAGTTACAGCTTCCGGACTCCATGCCCTGTCACAACCGGCAAGTAAACGCTACTTCCAGCCCAAGTCCCGATCGTCTGCGAGCAGACGACCAGATACTGGATCATGCCGAGGAAAATAAGGCTGCTTTGGCTCAACTGACTCTCCTCCCTGGGCACGCCCATTCTGGCGTGCTCTCGGAGCAGGACTCTCAGGCCTGTGGCAGCACTAATCTTCACTCTGAGAACCACAGTGATAATAGTGACAGTGGCAATTCCAAGGCACCTGTAGGCGACCCCCTCCTAGGGGACTGTGAACTCTCCCGACAGATCGGGGCACAGCTTAAGCTGCTGCCAATGAATGATCAGATCCGGGAACTGCAGACTATCATCCGCGACAAGTAAGCCCAGAGCGGAAGGGGAAAAGGGAGTGGAGGGGCTGCAGGGTGAAAGTAAAAAGCCTGTGTTTGGATTTGGCAAACTGATCTTTGGAGATGAGAGCCAGGCCTCTTTCTTTGGAGTGTGAGTAGGGGAGTCAGTGAGACAATTCTCTAGCTCTCTCTTCCTGTGGTTAGTACTGCTTTGTGGAGGAATGAAACCTTCTAGGTAGCCTTAAGCCTTTTCCGGCCTCTTTGTCTTAAACATGACTAATCCTCAACTGTGCCAGGTAGGTACACATCCCTATGCCACCTGCTCAGTTCCTGACACGATGTAAATGTATAATCCAGAAATGTTACACCCACTACACCCATAATAACCCTATGGTTATTATCACACTTTAGCCCAGGCTCAAAGAAAAAACTCGATTTCAAGGGAATTGATATTGTGTTCTGCCGGCCCTCTGACTCCTATCATTTACTGTTTGGGAGTTCAGATTTACCTGGTTGGCAGAAAGTTTATCATTCCAAACTTATCCAGGTTGTCTTACTGAAAACTTGCAGAAAGTAGTTTAACAGCAAGGCAGCCTGTGAACATGTTGGACCCTCCTAATCCCACAAATCAGTGTAGCCGAGAACTTAATTTTTTTTATTCATTTATTTTTTTAATTTTTTTATTATTATTTTTTTACACTTTATTCACTTTGTATCCCCCCATAAGCCCCTCCTCCTCCCCTCCCGTCCCCACCCTCCCTCCCCCTTCTTCATGCATGCCCCTCCCCAAGTCCACTGATAGGGGAGGTCCTCCTCTCCTTCCTTCTGATCTTAGTCTATCAGATCACATCAGCAGTGACTGCATTATCATCTTATGTGGCCTGGTAAGACTGCTCTCCCCTCAGGGGGAGGTGATCAAAGAGTAGGCCTATCAGATTGTGTCAGAGACAGTCCCTCTTCCCATTACTATGTAACCCACTTAGACACTAAACTGCCATGGATTACATCTGCGCAGGGGTTCTACGTTATCTCCATACCTGGCACTTGGTTGGAGTATGGGTCTCTGGGAAGACCCCTGTGGAGAACTTAATTTTTAAAATGCTTTTGGAATGAGTTTTCTTGGATAAATACACACCACAATGAAATACAGCTGCGATCCTTCCTTCTTTTCTATCTATCTATCTTTCTTTTTTTTCTTTTTCTTTTCTTTTTGGTTTTTTCGAGACAAGGTTCCCCTAAATTGCTGCTCAAACTCTGACTTCAAACTTGAAGGCACAAATCAACCTCCCAAGTAGGGGTAACTATTGTATATGAGACCATAATCTGGCTCCTATTGGCACCTTTAAATGAATAGCTACAGCATGTAAGACCACTATCTTCCTTCCCATTATGCCTTGGCATTTTAAAAATTCCCTACCATGAATCAGATTTTAGCAACTTTTTCTTTATCCCCTTGGTGTGGGCTCCTGTGTTTCCTTACTTCAGTTTTCCTTACTCTTTCACATGTATGCATCTATAAGCTGTTATTTTAACATAGCAGCCTTGATTTGATAACTGCCATCTAAACAGCCTTCCTTGGCTCATCAGAACCTATCAGCCCTTAAAATTTCTTTAACAGAAAAAAAAATTTTGCACATCAGTGTAGTATTACATAATGATTAAATCAGATTAAATAAATTTATTTCTCTATGCACTTATCAACTCTTTATGGTAAAAGCTTTCTAAATCCTTTATTCTGTGCAGTACTTTATTATCTGTAGTTAACATACTATGCAATAGTACAACAAAGCTTCTTGCTTCTACTCTAACTCAATACTTTTTTGTTGTTTTGTTCTTTTTGAGACAGGTTTTCTCTGTGTAACCTTGTTTGTCTTGGACTTGCTTTGTAGACCATGGGCTTGCTTTGCAATCAGGTTGGCCTTGAACTCACAGAGATCTGCCTGCCTCTGCCTCCTGAGTGCTAGGATCACAGGTGTGCACCACCATGCCTAGCTTCTACTAAATACTTCTTGATCAACCTTTCTACCTTTTTCTCTTCCTCTCTTCTCCCCATTCTCTAGTAAAATCCATTCTATAGTCAAATTCCCTGAGATCAACTTTTTAAGACTTCACTTCTGACCAAGATCATGCAGTTGTTGCTGTTTTGGATAGTTCAAATGAAAGAAGTCACATTTTATACCACGCTTATGTGGCTAGTTTCTTTTATTTTTGTAAATTTATTTGTATTTTTATAAATTGGAATTTATTTACTCTGTATCCTTGCTGTAGCCCCCTCCCTCATCCCCTCCTAATCCCACCCTCCCTCCCACTTCTCCTCCTATGTCCCTCCCCAAGTCCACTGATAGAGGAGGAGGACCTCCCCTCTGACCCTAGCCTCTCAGGTCTCATCAGACTGGCTGCATTGTTTTCCTGTGGCCTGGTAAGGCTGCTCCCCCATTAGGGGGAGGTGATCAAAGGTGGCTAGTTTCTTTTAGTATGATGTTTTCAACATTGCTTCCTTTCTGTGATTGAATGGTACTTCATTGCATAGATGTGCTGGGGGAGGTGCTCAAAGGTGGCTAGTTTCTTTTAGTATGATGTTTTCAACATTGCTTCCTTTCTGTGATTGAATGGTACTTCATTGCATAGATGTGCTGCAGTTTGTTTATCTACCAACGGCTAATGAACATTTGGGTAGTTTCTCCTCTTTCCTTATTATGAATAAGACTGCTGTGAACATTTGTTTATATGCCTTTGCTCAGGGGTGAGGATCTTAAGTTTTCATTAGATTTCATAAAGGTTAAATATATAAAGGTTAAAAACCATTCATACATATCTTGGAGAGAGTACGACCTTCAGCATTTATATATGATAGAGTCTGTATGTCTTGATTATATTTCATTCAGAAAAGTCTGGGTTATATAGCGACCTGAGAGTAAGTAGAATCCTTTCTGTTTTTCTTCTGAATTTGAAAGAGGAGACAGTAGGATCCCATTAGGGGGATTTTAGACAACATGTTTAACATCTCTCTGTTTCTGCTTTATCATTTATAAAATGAAGATGTTGGTGCAGCCTCCTGGAGCTCTTTCCTGAGACGCTAAAAGAATATTCGATCCATGAACACTGTAATAAACTGTGAAGTGCTTTGTATATTGACAGAATTTAAATTCTTCATGTTGGAAATTATGCATGCTTTTTACTGATACAGTTTAGGGGATTTGCTTGTATAGAGAATTAAAATTCTTAATTTGAAAATCAATACCAAAGCCAGGTCTTATGGCTCATGCTGCTAATACCAGCATTCAGGAGGCTAAGTGAGAAGGATGGCTGTTAGTCTGAGGTTAGTCTGTGGTGATTAGTGAGGAACAAGCCAGCCAGAACTACCTAGCAAGACTTTCTCTCAAAACAAATAAAAATAATGAGAGGGCCTACATAATTTGTACCCAGCTTTGACATAGTATAGAAAGGTCTACTGTAATTTTTCCTAATGAGGTGATACTCATTCAGGCTGGAGACAATGGTTTTTTAGTTTTGTTTTTGTTAATCAGCATAATTTGTTAACAAAAGCTTTCTCTTTTCTTTTTAAAAATTGTCTTGCCTTTATGCAAACAAGGTCTGTTTCAGGCACTGTAGGAGCTGACAGAGGCTATATTCATGTAAGCGGAACTATATTCATGTAGGTCTAGTTATAAAAGGTACAAATGGTTATCATAGTCTGTCCTCTTTGAAGCATATGCTTTTCTCTCTTTTGATACACACACACACACACACACACACACACACACACACACATTATGGAGTTGTCTGATAATAGAAGCCTTTGGAGTACATGTTGTTTCTTTTATTGTTCCTGGTTCTTAGAATCTATTTAGTAAAGGGATTGCTTCCTGAATTGACTGTGGCATGGGGAAATAGGGTGATCCAACTGAACTGCAAGTTGTGTATCTATAAAATAAGCAAGATTGAGAACATTGTCCTGATTTAAAATGGTTTTATTTTTTGAAGTTTACAATATTTGAAACATTTATGTTGGCTATATTATTGAATTTCAAGGAAATGATTTTCTCTCTTTGAGAGTGCAGTAATCTAAATGCTGAATGGAATGGATAATATATTCAGCTATGCATACATGGGTCACTGGCAAACGACGAAAAAGAAATGACTCCTTCATTTTCTTGTGGCTTCTTTTTGTTGCTATTGAAATGGATTAAACTATACAGCTTTCTCATCCTGAATAATAAATCCCGTAGAATCTGAGTGTAATATATATCTCTCCCTTGAACATGGTTCATGATCTCATGCATAAGGCAATGAAGTGAATTTTAAAAATCAATCTCCAATCCCTAGTTGCGTGTGTGTGTGTGTGTGTGTGTGTGTGAGTGTGTGAGTGTGTGTGAGAGAGAGAGACAGAGACAGACAGAGACTGATTTTGTCTCCTGAAATATTGTGAGCACTTTGAGTATATTTGGTCTTTGTACTTGTCATAGGAGAGGCTTTGGCATGGCTTGTGTAGGCTGCTTGGATGGGAGCTGAGCAATTATCTTAAGAGTTTTCCAGTCCATAAAATGGCACCGAAGAACTACCTTAAGCCTTGTGACTAGTTTTCAGTCATCTGGAAGGAGACATTTAACCTCAGATTGGATTGAACGTCCTGTGCAATTGTAGAGTGAGTGTTACCTAATGTGATGTGAGTCATACAAGTAACGTGATGTTCTTAACCAACGCTGTGCATTGGAACTGAAGTCTTTTTCAAAAACAATTTCCTGGCTCTCATACTTAGAGGTTGTTTGCAGTCTTGGGTGGAACCCATTTGCAGCCTTACAAATACCACAATGACTATTCCGTGCTCAGATGAGACCACTGCCTCTGTGAGAATGCCCAGACTCCCTGTGTGGTGACAGGCCTGGCTTCAGACTTGGCATATAGAGCAATTCAAGGATTTATACATGAAACAGAAGTAGCTTAAAGAACTTGTCCTGGCATCACCCTGAGACTAGAGGAATCTCAAAATTTGTCATTTCAACTTATACGAAACCGAAATGCTCACCATAGGGAAAATTTAATTTACAGACTGTCTAAAACTTGGACATGTTTTTTTTTTTTTTTGTTTCTGTACATTTTCCATTTGAATTTTCTAACTGGCTGTAGTGCAATAGGGAGGAAGTCCCATCTTTAGGCAGCACAAATCCCTTATATAATATGTTAGGGCTATCCTATTAATGTCTCACAGGTTACACTGGACCCTAGCAGGTGAAAATTATACCTCTTGTTTTTCCACCTGCTTTTTGGAGTTTATTTTGAATTCTACTTGGAGATGCAGGTAAACAATGAATGGCTCTGTATTTTATAAGCTTATTAAGGTATTAACAGGCTGTGACTTTCCTGACTTGCACCTGGCAGGTGGAAGAAGTTGTTTTTTTTGTTGTTGTTGTTGTTGTTTTTTAATTTCCATTGAGTTAGATTTGTTCTAGTGTGTTGTTAACGGTTTGTTTTTTGAAGGTGATGGGAAGAGCAAAATCCGTTGTAAACCATCTGCATGCTACAGCAAATCTTGCGGCTGTTCTTGATTTTAGTGATCACATAATGGAGAAGTGAACCTTCTCCTTTGCTCATTAAACCACAACTTGAAATGAAACCTACCTTTTTAAAAAATTTATTTATTTTTATATTTTTTTGATTTTTTTTTTGTGACAGGGCTTCCCTGTGTGGCTGTCCTGGACACACTTTGTAGATCAGGATGGCCTTGAACTCACAAAGATCCTTCTGCTTCTGCCTTTCTGAGTAGAAATCTACCCTTTGACTAAACCTGACAGAACTTTTCTTAGGTTTCACTTCCCTGCAACCCATTGGTTTAACAAACAAAATATTAAATCTGAGTCCTCACACTCTTAGTTTTAATATTCTTACTGTGAAAGTCCATTAAATTATTCCTGTCCTTAGCAGGTAAAACACTGGATGTCCAGTTAAATTGAATTCAAGAAAATAGTGAACATTTTTTATATAAGTATAACTTAAATATTGCATGGGATTTATGAAATTCAAATTTAATATCCTATATTTTTATTTGCTAAATGCTCACTCCATTTTCACTTCTCCAAATGTCACAAACAATCCATGTGTATAATCTTCTAGGAAGAGTGTTGTGTTTACAATTTTCAAATGACATCCAATTCTGTGTGCCTAGGATTTGATTTTATTTAAATTGTTGTAAGTTATGACTCCTCAGGAGTTTGTTTTCAATTGCTTTTGGAAAGCATGTATTTTTTTTTCAAAGTGTAGTCTTGCTGTGTGGGCGAGGCTGGCCTTTAACTTGTTAGAGATGCCAAGCTGCCTTTGAACTTTATGATCTACTGGCCTCATCCTTCTGAGTGCTGGTATCACGGGTTTCCACCAGCATACCCTGCAAAGGGTGTGTAGTGTGGTTTACTCTTTACAAGCTGTATTATAAAATCATCTGTCTCTTCAGGAAGATCATTTTATTTATTTGCTACTTGAACTTTATTTGGAGAAAGAGTTTTGCTATGTAACCTGGGCTGGCCTGAAACTCCTGGGTTTAACTAATCCTCTGTTGTGTGACACTATCTCTGGGTGAACAAACATCTACTCACCCCAGCTATAACCCCCTCCCTCATTCCCTCTTAATCCCACCCTCCCTTCCTCATCTCCCTGCTCCTCTCTAAGTCCACTGATAGGGGAGGTCCTCCCCTCCTTTCAAGACAAGATTTTTTCATGGTTTTGATAGAAATTGAACAATTATGATTTGAAGTAGAGTGTATAGAGTGAATAATACCTGGAGTCTACTTTCCATTAAAAAATATTTTAAACAAATGATTCACACCAGTATTGGGTTAAAAGGAAGATTCAAACAGCTTGATCAGATAAGAAAATTCTGTTCTTAAGAAACTGTTCTCAGCAGGGTTAAGAATTTCAACATGATGTTGAAGGCCACTGTGAAATTTTTTTAATGTAATCACCTTATTGTATCCTAGCTTTACTTTAATTTCTAAATTGATTTAAAATAAATAGTATGAGTTGAAGTTTGCCTAAAATAACAGAAGGCAATATAGTAATTGCTGTTCATAATGGAGTAACTTGGAACAGTGGATGATTTCATTTGTAGGTCAAATAATTGTTAAGCAAAGACATTTCTTATTAGATTCTCAGTGTATAGCTTTTGTAGAATGTATGTATCATGCAAAGGTTATACGCTAAAGCTGATTTTTTTTGGGGGGGGAGGGTAAAAAAGGTCTTAATGTCTGATTCCAAAGTAAAAATAACAGATGGCTCTATCTCTGATCACTTTGCCTGTGTAATAACTTGATATATAAATGTTGAGAAGTGTTAAAAAAAAGACATGTTGCCAAAATATATCACAGGATATTTCTTTAAGACTTGACAGCTGAAGAGATAGCTCAGTGGTTAAGAATACTTGCTGTTCTTGCAGAGGACCTGGTTTTGATCCCAGCATCCACATGGCAGCTCATAACAACCTGTAATTCTAAATCCAGGGCATGATAGGTTCCCTTCCAGCCCCTATGGACACCATACATGTGCATGGTACACAGACATACATGCAGGCAAAACACTCATATGCATAAAACAAAATAAATATAAAAAATTAAAGGAATGCATTAAGCTTCTATAATATCCTGAAAGCTTCAAAGTTTCCTTCCCTCTTGAAAAGGAGCTATGATTTGGCTGCTGAACAAGTTTGCATAGGTCTAGCATAATAATACTATTATTTTTTATATAGTTCTCTGCTTTTCACTTCCTTGACAGATGTGTTTGAAGTGGTCTTATTTGAAATCAGCAGTACGCATAACAGAGCCTGTTTTAAATGGCTTCTCTATGTATATAGTTGTGTGTGTGTGTGTGTGTGTGTATGTGTAGAATTTTTTGAGTCTAGAGAATAGAATGTATAAATACTACTAACACATATTCTTGCTGTTGCTTAATTACACCCATAGTTTAGGGAATAGTGGTGATAGAGCTGTGATCACTGTAAGAAGTGCAATGTTATTTGTGTCAGGTACATTTTGTTGCTTTCCTCTGTTAAAAAAAAAAAAGTTGAGTACAGCTGGGCATGGTGGCACACACCTTTAATCCCAGCACTAAGGGAGGCAGAGGTGGGCAGATTGCTGTGAGTTCAAGGCCAGCTTTGGTCTACAAAGTGAGTCCAAGGCTCACACAGCCAAGGCTACACAGAGAAAACCTGTCTCCCAAAACAAACAAACAAAAAAGAAAAGAAGAAACACTGAGTGCACATGCAAAAAAAAAAACAAAAACAAAAACAAAAAAAAGTGAATTATCTGCCGAGCTAAGAAACACTTGCATTTATCCCTTTGATGTTATGATAAGGAATATTTTAGTATATTTTATATAGACAGGTAGGGAATTTTAAGTACATAAGCTGTGAACTAATCCATTCCATCAAAATGTATAACATATGAAAGAAGGAAGAGGAATAATGTTAGAAGTTTACATATAAGAAAAGCATCAGTGTCTTAACATTCAGGGGGTGGAGGGTGGTTAACAACTTGTGGGTATGACAGGATTGCGTTATTATTGTTTGCGTACCTCAGGATAGGAAGGAAATGTGTAAGAAAATGACAGGAAAATCCAGGTAATGAAAAAGGCCATGTTATAAATGATTTGGGAAAGAGGGCTTAGAAATTAAATCACATATTCTTGAAAGCAATGACAAAAGCACAGGACTTATGTTAATTCAAAGAAGAACCAAAGACAAAGTATTTGGATTATGTATCTCTATTGTGTGCCTAGAAAGCAAGGTGAACTTAAGGGGGGAGAGTGGGAAAGCTAGTTTTCTTACTGTAAGTTTTTTTTTTTTTTTTTCAATTTGAGCTTGTAGCCTTGTTGTCATCTTCCAGGGGATCTTTGTTCCCTGACAGCTCAGTGGGAACGGCATGATCTTTTCAGTTCTTATCTTGGATGTTGATATCAAGTAGTCAAATACCTGTTTACAATAATAGTCATGAAGTCATTTCATTTTATGTCTGTATCCTAGTAAAAACATATTGCCTTAGTAATAGTCTGTACACATAAGCATTTCAGCTTTTATTATATAATAGGTCTTAATATCAGTGTTACTATAATAAGTTATATTTTACTTCGAAGTTCTAATTTAGACTAAAACTTGTACTTTATTTTATTTTATTTTTTAGGACAGCCAGTAGAGGGGACTTCATGTTTTCTGCGGATCGTTTGGTAAGTGGAGGCTTTCCATTTTCATTTCGCTGTTATACACAGTGATATAATTCTGGTAGGCCAGGAGGCTTTTTTGCTGTAGAGCATTCTGGGGTTGAGAGATTTCACTTAGTAACCATCATCTTGATAGGCTTCTGAAGTGTTCTTTCTAGTACAGCTTTAAAGCACTGCTTCACTCCCTTTTACCCCAAAGTATTGCCTATGAATCCATTCCTTGTCATTCTTAGATGGATCTTGGCAGTCTGGCTCTTAGCAACTCATAAAATGTCTCATCTTAGGGCACTGAATTGAAGCACTTAGAAGGAAACTAAATATGTTCTGAGACCTAGCATTTACCCTTGTGGTATCAGCTAAGATGCAAAAAGTAGTCTTTTTTGTGTGATTTACAGTATGAGTCGCATTTGTTTTGTTTCTGCCCTGTGGTGTAGTCACAATTTTAAATTCTAAGTTGGGCTGTCTACCCTTCTTCAAGGGCATCCTATGAAATCCTGACTAAACCCAGTCTTTACATAGTCAGTGAGATCTCATATGATCTCAGGCCAGATTGCTTTGCTACAGTTTTTCATTCTTGTGCTGATACCTAAGTGTGCTCCATTCTTAAAATGAAATTGATAATTAGTTGCTATGACTAATACTCTTCATTAATGAAAATAAACACTGGGCACACATGAGGTTCTGTGCTAGACTATTTTGGGAGGGAGGAGGTAAAACAGGAATATAGATATGGTCCTTGCTCTTGTGGAATTTGCAATCTTAAATGTTGCCCATACTTAGATTAAGAAAGAAATGTGGCTTATTAACCTTGTAGATATAATCAGCTCATTGAAAATAGTTCTAAAAGGAAATGTGAGGAAAAGGCATCAAACTTTTCATTTTTATTTTTTTTTTTCTGGAGCATGTATTCTAAAAGACTTTAGACAGCTCTACAGTCTTTGAGAGACCCAATTCAATTTAAACTAATCTTGTCTTTTGTGGAGAGTAATAGCTGCTGGTAAGAGCAGAAGGAATATGGTTGACGTTCCTGGGGTAGTAGCCATTGTCTATCAGGTTTTCTTCTGTGTGTGTATGTGTACATTTGTGGAGGTGCATGTGTGTGTGCTTGCAGGTAGAAATCAGAGGTCAACCTTGGGTGTGGAGGCCAGAGATCAGTCTTGGTTGCCTCTCAGGAGCCATCTACCTTACCTTTTTTATTTTTACTATTTTAGATAAGGTTTTGAACTGGCATCTAGAGGTCCTCAGTTAGGCTGAATGTCCATCAAGCCCTCCAGATACCCTCTTGTCACTAGAGTTATAAAGTGTATGCTACCACTTGGATTTTTTTATGTGGATTATAGATACTGAACCTAGGTCTAAATGTTTACAAGGCAAATACTTACCACCAATCAGCTTTCTTTTATGTGTTCAGCAAAAATAAACAAACAACAAAACCCCAAAAACATTTTTTAAATTTTTATTTATTTTTTATTTTTATTATTAGTTACATTTTATTAACTCTGTATCCCAGCTGTGTCCTGATCCCTCATTCCCTCCCAACCTCTCCTTCCCTCCCTCATCTCCTCCCTGCCCCTTTCCAAGTCCACTGATTGGGGAGGACCTCCTCCACTTTCATCTGATCCTGTTTTATCAGGTATCTTCAGGACTGGCTGCAAAGCTCTCCTCTGTGGCCTAACAGGACTGCTCCTCCCTTGTGAGAAACTTCTACTTTATTGACAGAAAATAGGAGTTTCTGTTCTCTGATGTAAAATTGTTCATCTTTTCTTTCCTTTGTGCCTTCTTTCTTTCTGTTTTTGAGACAATGTCTCCTTTTTTTTTCCAGAATGGTCTCAAAATTCTTGGTTCAAGCATTCCTCCTGCCTCAGCTTCCCTAGTAGCTGGGATGACAAGGCTAATGACAGATGCATCTATCTCTTTGTTGTTGTTATTATAGAAAGTAGGAGTCAAGTCCATGGATGTTTTAAAATGCTTCTTTGAAATAACATGTATTATATATTAGCCAAATAAGATATGTGGCATACTTCCTGTAAGGGAATGGTAATTTGGACTTCTCCATTCTTTATAGTTGGCTTTGAAGGGCCACTGATGAAGTGTGGTTGTGTGTGTGTGTGTGTGTGTGTGGGGGTTCTGTTGTGATTGTGGTAGCAACTACAGCTGTTTATATTTTTATTATTAAGGATTTCTAGTATACCATCTCCTCAACACAAGGGTCTCATGAGAGTGAGCAATTGATGTTATTCTGAGATTGTCAGGAGTTGCTTCCTGTAATTCTTTACATTTTAATTATTTTTTTGGGAGAGTGATGAAGATTGCTGTACCACTGAGCTACACCCCACTCCTTAAAAGGATTTTAGTCATTTCTTCTTCTAGTTTTATGCTCTCCTCTAACTTAGACACACTAATCTCCACACCTGGGTTTATATATATTTTATTTATTCTTTGAAAAATGTATACATATATACAGTGTATTCTGATTATATAATTCCCTCCAAATCCTCAGATTCTTCCACCCAACTTCATATCCTCTTTTTTTCATAGCCTACTGAGTCTAATTTATGCTGTCCAGATGTACCTGGGTATGAAGCTATTTACTGGGGTATGGTCAACCCTTCAGGGGACCACACCTCTAAAGAAAACTGACTCTTCCTCCTTCAGAAAACGGATCAGCTGCCAATAACTTCTCATTCAGAGATATGGCCTATGAGCTCCTCGCCCTTGTATGGGAGTGTTAATTGGCTTGGTCTTGTGCAAGCAAACACAGCTGCTGTGAGCTCATGTGTGCAACAGCCACGAGTACGGCGTCCCTCCCACGTCCAGAAAAAAATATTTCACAGCAGTTCTCTTCAACCTTTGCCTCTTACATACATGGTAATTTCTGTCCCACAGTTTCGAAGGATGGGGCAGGAAATAAGGCTCTTTTAAGGTATGTCACTAGAGGAAGGAGATAGGGGCTGTACAAAGAAAAAAAAATCATCCCTGTAAATTGTCTTTTAAACAAACATAAATAGGCACGGGAGATTGTAGATATCTGTGAGGGTGCTCTTGCATACACCAGTTAAAAGATTTCTGGGCCCATTCTCTGATTCTTCAGGCGGAGAGAGTGATGGGGCATTTCCAAGTGATCCTTCTAACGGCAGCAGGGTGATATGTTGTGATAACAGAGAACGAAGCATTGTACCTTTCCCTGCTGTCCCTGATTCTCAGTCATTAATGCTGTATTGATTGGAGAAAATGTGCACTACAGGCTCAGCACTGTCTCTGTTATGGTGGGCTCTGGCTGCTCATATCTCACTGTGAGAAGCTGTTTTCAGGAGTCTTTAGTGATTCTTTCTTCTGGCTCACATATTTTCAATTAAAAATTTATTTTTTTTATATATTAATTACAGTGTATCCATTTTGTACCCCAGCTGTAGCCCCCGCCCTCATTCCCTCCCCATCCCACACTACCTCCCTCTTCTCCTCCCATGCCCCTTTCCATGTCCACTGATAGGGGAGGTCCTCCTCCCGTTCCATCTGATCCTAGCTTATAAGGTCTGATTAGGACTGGTTGCATCATCTTCCTCTGTGGCCTGGCAAGGCTGCTCCACCCTCAGGTGGAGTTGATCAGAGAACCAGCCACTGAGTTCATGTCAGAGACAGTCCCTGTCCCCCTTATTAGGGAACATACTTGGATACTGAATTGCCATGGGCTACATCTGAGCAGGGTTTCTAGGTAAGATCCATGCATGGTACTTAGTTGGAGTATCAGTCTCAGAAAAGACTCCTGTGCCCAGATTTTTTGGTTCTGTTGCTCTCCTTGTGGAGCTCTAGTCCTCTCCAGGTCTTACTATCTCTCCCTTCTTTCCTAAGATTGCCTGTATTCTGCCCAAAGTTTGGTTATTAGTGTCAGCATCTGCTTTGATACACTGCTGGGTAGACTCTTTCAGAAGCCCTCTGTGGTAGGCTCCTGTCCTGTTCCCTGTTTTCTCCTTCTTCCCATGTCCATCCCATTTGTCTTTCTGAATGAGGATTGATCATCTTACCCAGGGTCCTCCTTCTTGCTTAGCTTCTTTAGGTGTACAGATTTTAATATGTTTATCCTATATTATATGTCTAATATCCACTTATAAGTGTAAGTATATACTGTGTGTGTCTTTCTGCTTCTGGGATACCTCACTCAGTATGATCTTTTCTAGATCCCACCATGGCACATTTACACAATGGAATACTACTCAGCTATTAAAAACAAGGCCTTTTAGGCTTTCTTTGCATTATGATGGACTTTTGTTAAAAATGAATTCAAATTCATGTTCAAATTTCAAAGATCTCAAAAGTACTAAGCAAGGCAGAAAAAGTCCAGGTAGACACTTTCCACAGTAACCCATAACTTTATTACCACCAATGAAGTTTTGTACCTCTAATATTCTTTACTGAAATAGAGTGCACACTGGAGCCCTTTAGTGACAGTCACATGTCATATGAAGGTTGGATTCTTAGCAACAAGCAGCCTGGCATTTAGATCTGTCCCTGCAGTTAGGGACAGATCCCACCTCCATAACCCTCAGCTTCTAAGTCTAAGAACTAACAGGATTCTCTGCAGGACCTCAACTTATTTTTTTTTCTTTGACTTTCTAGATCAGACTTGTTGTAGAAGAAGGACTGAATCAGCTGCCATATAAAGAATGTATGGTGACCACTCCGACAGGTAAACAGGACTTCTAGTCTCAAATTTTCCTCAAAAATTCTGAGTTAGAGTGGGAGGAGGGAGAAAAAAAATGGAAGGAGGACATTCTGTGTAATATCAGTGTGAAAAAAATGAGCTTATATATAGCTGTTTTTTAAAAAAAAAAACTTTAAAAACTGAGAGTTTTAGAAATCCATATAGATGACTTTTTGTTAATGGCTTCCTTGTCAATTCAAGTTAAAGGTTATTACATGCTCTTCAGCATGCAGATGTTGCTTTTGATGGTAGCCCATGGGGACCAGAGTTAAGAATTGCTGGCAGCTTATCTTCATCTCTGTGGGGAAGCTGCTGGTGCTAACAAATGCAGGAAACTGGCTTGGCATAGAAACTTCAGGTTAAGAAAAAGAAGAGATGTGAAAAAGAAAAGGAAAAGGAAAAATAAGATTTGGAGAAGGTATTTTGTTCTAATAAAAAATAGCATACAATCCTTCTTTCAGATATTTGAAATTCTGACTTTTTAAAATAAATGATGGAAAACTCTTCTTTTAAGAGGGCTGACTATGAACAATTGAAGGCTGAGCTTGTTACATCATAATTGACACAAGCCAGTATGAGGCCAAGTTTTGAGTAGCTTGATAACTACTTCAGCCTTTCTTCTGCTTTTTAGGCAGAATGAAGGCTCATAAAAAGGGATGGAATGGGGAGGCTTTCTGCTGTAGCTCTCAGTGGGGCCCCGGGTTTAATTGACAGGGTATCTAGAATTCATGGACTGCAGTGAATCTCCTTTGAATTCAATTTAGAGGGTGTGTATGTGAATATTGTTCTGTAATAAGTTCTATTCCAATTTGATGAAATCCTTCTTTCCCAATTTTTATCACAGGCTTTAAGGAATTAGGAAATAACTATGAAAAATCATGACTCATTACTTTTACAAGAAACCCAAGGTGTTATACAATGTGTCTAGACAAGGGTTGCTTTGTATTCATGTGCTTTGAACCTTATAGAATATGCACATTGCTCCAATGATAAAGGATCTATTTTTCATTTTATTTCCCAACAGGGCACAAGTATGATGGAGTGAAATTTGAGAAAGGAAATTGTGGGGTCAGCATAATGAGAAGTGGTAGGTTTGCATGTATTTGATTTTGTTTCTTTGCATGAGTGGAAATGGTTGCTCTTTCCTGGGAGAGAGGCGGGTGGCCTTGTCATAATTGCAACCTGCCTTTTCTTAAGTCTCACCACCTGTGTTGCCTGGTCTCATGGTGCCTTGGAGTCATGGCACATTTGCTGCTAAGTTTAGCTAATTATAATTGCAGGCATCTTCCCTAGTGCCCTGCTCCCATGAGCAAGCCAGCTTCTTAAAAGACTCAAAGGGAAACTCTCCTCCATTGCTAATGGGAGTGAAAACTTGTACAACCACTGGAAATCAATCTGGTGCTTTCTCAGAAAATTGGGAATAGCACTATATCCAAAAGATGCTCCACCATTCAATAAGGACATTTGCTCAACTATGTTCATAGAAGCTTTATTTGTAATATCCAGAATCTGAAAACAACCTAGATGTCCCTCAGTGGAGGAATGGATACAGAAATTGTGGTACACCTACACAATGGGATATTACTCAGCTGTTAAAAACAAGGAAATCATGAAATTTGCAGGCAAATGGATGGAACTAGAAGAGATCACCCTGAGTAAGGTAACCCAGAAACAGAAAGACAGGCATTATATATACTCACTAATAAGTGAATATTAACCATATAATATAGGACAGCCATCTACAGACCTAAAGAAGGTAAACACTAAGGAGGACCCTAGGGAGGATGCTCAAATCTCATTCAGAATATCAAACAGGATAGATAGCAGAAGTGGTGGAAGAGAGGAAACAGGATGGGAGTCTACTATAGAGGGTCCTCTGAAAGGATTCACGCAACAGGGGATCAAAGCAGATGCTGAGACTCAGGAACAAACTTTGGGCAGAGTGCAGGGAGTCTTATGGAGGAAGAGAGGGTTGGGATTAGATGGATGGGACAGGAGCCCCACAAGGAGACAAACAAAACTAAAATATCTGAGCACAGGGGGTCCTGAAGGGACTGATGCACCAATGTAGGACCACACATGGGGAAGACCTAGACACCCTATTCAGATGTGGCCAATTGGTAGCTTAGTCTCCATGTGGATCTCTGAGGGAGGGAATCAGGGGCTGCCTCTATCATGAACTCAGTTGACTGCTCTCTCGTCACTCACCCCTGATGATGCAGTCTTGCCAGGTTACGGAAGAAGAAGATCCAAGCAGTCCTGATGAGTTAACAAGCTATGGGCAGATGGCAATAGTGGAGAACTCCCCCTTTCAGTGGACTAGGGGAAGGGGATGAGGAGAAGAGGGAAGAAAGGTGGGTCTGGGGGAGTTCAGGGAGGGTGCTTCAATCAGTATATAAAATGAATAAATTATGAAGAAAAAAAGACTCAAAGGAGGGTGGGAGGATAGCAGGATGGGAGGACAGGATACTGCTTCTTGGGTAGAAAAGTTTGCAGACTGAAAAAATGTGGCATAAATTACATTGGTTCTGAAGAACATTTGAATATCTGGCTAGAGAAAATGTATTCTCTGTTTTTATCTATGTTGTAGGTAAATGCCAAAATATGGACAGAATGACTTGCTTAATATTTAAAATTTTATAGTCTATTAATATGTAACTATATAGGCAAAAGCACTTAGTTGTCATTAGCTCTAGGCATTTCTGCTTCTGGTCTTATACATTTCATATAGGTGCTTTGAGTCCAACTGATCACCCTAAATAACAACGTTTGCACAGGAAAATGGCATTCCTGTGATAAGAACATGTACAGGGATGTTTTCTCTTCAGCAAACTGAATTTTTTTTTTCTTTTTTGCACAAGAGCTGGAAGCTCCACTTGTTTTTCACTGGAAACTGATAGATTTTTAAACTATATAAACATTCATGTTTTCTCTAGCTCTTGTGTTTGTGAACAATTGAACACCTCAATTACAAAAGGAGCTTTAGGTTCTGTTTTTATAGGAAGATAGCGCTAAGCAATGACAGCATTCTCAGGATAGTTTTGTTCAGCACTTGAAGCTGTTGAACACATAGATACGCTTTCTTCCCAGCTCCTTCTTTGAGAATACCAGCTTGCTCCTTGTAAGCTCTCTTGTGTACCAGATGATTCAGGGAGATAAAGGCCAACTTGAGAAGGGGTTTTTGGGTGTTTGTTTCTTTGCTTTGTCTTTTGATTTTTTTTGTGTGTTTTGATACTATAGTTTGAATCCAGAATCTTGCATACGTGTGTATAACATATACACACTATTACCATCAAAATCCATGCCCAGCTTTGACATAGTTTTTATTCTTAAAAGCTACCTATTGTTTTTGTATATTTTTAGAAGAAACTGTTTATATGTTTTCGCTAATGCTCTAAAGTTTCCTCTTAAATAAAGAGTTAATTTAAGAAAATATTAAAATATTATGTAGATACCAGTACTGATAGAATTTCAAAGCAATGTAAAATATTGCATGAGAATGATTGACTTTAGGAAATATACGTCTTCAAAGACATTCAGACTCAGAAATAGCCCTGTGTGTAGGGGCTAGGGAGAGGTCTCGGCGGTTAAATCAACTGCCACACAAGGGTGAGGAATGAAGTTGAAGTCAGTGTGGCGGCCTGCTGGTTATCCCAGTACTCCAGAGGCTCAGGCAGGGGAATCCCTGGAGCAAAATGGCTAGGCAGATTCCTCACATCGGGAAGCCCTGATGCTCAACCGAGAGACCTTGGCTCAAAGAATAAGGTGGAGAGTGACTGAGCTCACCCTCATGTGCAGTTGCACACACATGTGTGCCTACACACACACGCAAACATGTTCACGCGCACGACACACACAGACACATAGAAAGGCAGCTTCTGTTGGGATGAGGGTCAGGCAGGCTCTTTGGAGAAGAGAGAACCCATGTTACTTGACACTTTTTCCAATGAAGTCACTGTTGAGCTAAAATGATGAATCCTGCTGCCACCTTGATCCAAAGAAAAAGCTTCTGCCTGCAGCCCCCACTCTTTCATGAATCTTTTAGATTTTTGCCAGACAAAAGTGACAAATTTAGGTGGCTTAAGGTCTTCTTTAAAAACCTAATAAGAGGGAAAGTATCTCTGATGCCGAAGAAGCTCAAGGAATGACCCAGTCAAGCCTATACTAATGGAAGCATGACAGCTCCATAGCTTATAAGCCTACCTTATTGTGGTTTCATTGACCAGGCTTTCATTGAGCTTTTACTAAGAAGAAAATATGACCATAGTAGAGAAAGAAGAATGCTTCTGCCTTGATAGTGCTCGTTTTGGTATTAGTAACAGTGAGAAACTTTATTTTAGCCTGTTCTTGGATTTGCACTCTATCTGCCACAACCCTGTTGCCTCTGATTTCTTTTCATTTCCTCCTTCAAGGTGAGGCAATGGAACAAGGCTTACGAGACTGCTGTCGATCCATCCGAATTGGGAAGATCCTGATTCAGAGTGATGAGGAGACACAAAGGGCCAAAGTATATTATGCCAAGTTCCCCCCAGACATTTATCGCAGAAAAGTCCTTCTGATGTATCCAATTCTCAGTGAGTGGCTTGAGTTGCATTTGTAATCTTTTGTTAAGAGTTTAAATGCAAGTTAGTACCTACCTCCTACACACCCTTATATAAAAGGCAAAAACAGTTTCTAAATGTATTTTCTCTGTTGGATTTGGAGTTGTCCTGGGCAGTTAGCTGGGAAATTTTTATTGTATAATAAGAGAATATATATTAATCAAACTTTGTTAGTCCCAAAGAATGCCTGTCTTGAAATGAACGGATCGAAGCAAAGGACCTAATGAAGCAAATGATATGTAGAACACAGAAAATGAACTGAAACATGTTCCGTTTCTACCTTAATGAGCATGGCAGTGATTTTTCCTCAAGGTTTTATCCTCTCTACAGGAAATTTTTCTGGTATTCTGTTCTCGTCCTTGTACTTTTTCATTTTATGGTATCCCGGGGAGGTGAGCAGGGGTGGTAGTGGTAATGTTAAATTTGGTATCTGAAGCAATAAATGAGTTTAGGACTCGTTGTACCTTTGATACTTATGTTGTGTCCATCATTAAAAATAACATTGACAAAGAGCAAACACTTCCAAATGAAGCTTTTATTAGTCGTGTCTTATGTTAAGATTACTGTATTACTCTTAATTCAAGAACATTTCAGTGTAGATGTTAACATTGCTAATGGGTTTGGTTGTGTTTTTGTATTAGGCACTGGAAACACTGTCATTGAAGCTGTAAAGGTTCTTATAGAGCACGGAGTTCAACCCAGTGTTATTATCCTACTCAGTCTCTTCTCCACCCCCCATGGTGAGTTTATTTAACTTATTTATTTTTCGAGACAGCCCTGGCTGTCCTGAAACTTGCTCTGTAGACCAGGCTGACCTCCAGAGATTCGTCTGCCTCTGCCTCCTGAGTGCTGGGATTAAAATTATCCACCCCATGGTGAGTTTTATGTGCAGCTATAATTTGAGCTCCAGATAGTTATGAGATGAGTAAGGATGTATCTCTTTAGCCTCTCATCCTTTGGAAAAGTAGAGATGTATGTCCACATTAAATTTAAATCTAGTTTTGGTACTTATGACTTGTGTTTATCATCTCTAAGCTTAGTGAAAATACTAAACCATTGTTTTTGAGACAAGGCATAGTGTAGCACACTGTTCTTGAACTTCTAGACTCAGGTAATCTCATCTTTCCAAGTAACTGAGACCACAAGACATATATTGGTACACCTGTCTTGTTTCACACTCGTCTGATGTTTATTTTATTTTTTTTTTTTATTTCTTTGTTTTATTTTATGTGTATGGTGTTTTGCCTGCATATATATGTCTGTGTACCATGTACATGTTAAAAGCCCTCGGAGGCCATGAAAAGGTGTTGGATCCCCTGGAACTGGAATTACAGATGGTTGTGAGCTGCCTGTGGTTGCTGAGAATCAACGCAGGTACTTTGATTGATCAGCCAGTGCTCTTAACCACTGATTTATCAATCTACTCATTCTGATGTTTAAATTCAAATGGGGGCATATTAATTACTTCATTGAAAAAAAACTACAGTTGTTTTCCCATTTGGCCCAGTTTGGTTATGGCCCATAAATGGCTGAAGGGTTTCCCATCTGAACCTGAGAACAAAGGACTTATTACAGTATTGGTGAAATAATCTTTGGAATGAGAAGTGAAGATAAGATTTTTTTTTAAATTAAACATCTGCCTTAAGGACATACAAGGAAGTCATCTATTCTTTGTTTCCTGCAAGAGATTATCCAAATTAAGACTTTGGCTTTCTTTCCAAAGAATCTAGGACAATTAGGAATACATGGTAAGAAAATAATAATAGAGGCATGTAAAATTTAGTTTTTAGGGTTTTCATCATAATTTGAAGTATAAGAAATAATGATTATTTGGAATGATGATACATGCTTATAATTCCAGCACTTGGGAGGCAGAGACAAAAGGATTAGTGCAAGTTCAAGGCCAGCCTGCCCTATATAGAGAACTTAACTATCTAGCTAGACTCGGTCCCAAAAACAAGAACATAAAAGGAATTATATAGATGACTGATAATAAATGGGTATATGAGTAATATCTATTTAGAGTATATATTACATACCTCGCAAATGTGCTTTTCAAAAGTATTTAGTGTTATAAAAATATACTTGGCAAATGTGAAAAAGCAGCATAAATAAGAATTTCATACTGTGAAGTACTTCACTTCTCTAATGTCTCAAGGACCTTTGTGGAGGAGATGGAAAGATCTTAAGAGCCAGAGATAGTGGATAACTTCAAGGAAACAGTTTTTTTTTATGTTCATAGCAGCTTCATTTTTTTAATTTTATTTTTTATATTAATTACAGTTTATTCACTTTGTATCCCAGTTGTAGCCTCCTCCCTCATCCCCACAACCCCACCCCCTCCCTCACTCATCTCCTCCCATGCTCCTCTCTAAGTCCAATGATAGGAGAGGTTCTCCTCCTCTTCCACCTGACCCTAGCCTATCAGGTCTCATCAGGACTGGCTCCATTGTCCTCCTCTGTGGCCTGGCAAGGTTGCTCTCCCCTCAGGAAGATGTGATCAAAAAGCCAGCCACATAATTAATAAAGAAAAAGAAAGCCAGCCACTGAGTTCATATCAGAGACAGCCTCTGTTCCTCTTACCAGGTTACCCACTTGGAGACAGAGCTTCCATGGGCTACATCTATGTATGGGTTCTAGGTTATCTGCATAGACAGTCCTTGGTTGGAGAATCAGTCTCAGAAAAGACTGTATTTTTTGGTTCTGTTGCTCCTCTCTTTGTGGAGTCCTGTCCCCTCCAGGTCTTTCTATCTTCCCCCTTTCTCAGAAGATTCCCTACACTCTGCCCAAAGAGATGGCTCAGCCATTAAAGGCTAGGCTCACAACCATAAATATAGAGGTTTTTTGTTTGTTTGTTTTGTAGACAGAACAGTTCCACATATGAACTTGTAGAGGATGTGACAGTCTCCATCAGATATGTACAGGCTCAAGCCAGATAAAATACCAGCTTGGAGGGAGGAATGGCAGACACATAGTTCCACCACTAGTTGAGAAGCTACTGGCATTGGTAACTGCTGGGAGAGGGAGAGTCAGTTTTTTTGAATGGTTTGTCCCCTGGTAAGCCAACACACAAGAGGAGTTGGGTGACAGAGAGTGGCCTTGATGGTTTGAGGGAGGGGGGAGAAAAAGAGAAAACACAAACATACATAAAGTTTGGTGGGTAGGGAGTAGAGAGGAGGTATGGATAGGATCAAAATATATTGTATGAAATTCTCAAGGAATTAATACATATATAAAGAAACACTGTAAATGTTCAGTAAGTTTAGAGACAAGTTATAACACTACTAAAAGCAGACTTGGTTTTAACCTAAAACAGAATCAATTTGACATCCACATGAGTGGGTAGGATGATACACAGTGCTATTTCAGTTTTGCTTTCAAAATGCACACAAAGTATCAATAATGGTTATTTTAGGGTATGATTCTAAATGACTTTCATTTTTAAGCTTTTTTGGGGGTGTGGGGGGGACACTTTCTAAGCATTCCTCAATGAATTGATATTTGTTTCCTAATTGAAAGAGAAATAGATGGCTTCTGTAGCTGAACGTTCCTGCCTTTCCAACTATTCCAGGTTTCAGGCAAACCAGGAGAAGCCACAGCATATGTATTAGAAAGGCTATTTTCAATATATTATGCTGTATAGTAATTGTGGCCTATTGGATTACTTTGTTCTTTTGTAACTTAAATGTTACATGTAAATGAAATTTAAATACTAGTGGTGACAAAGGGTGATTTGCTTGATTGTTCATTGTACGTAGCCCTGCTGACATTGAAAACATTAAGGTAATCCAGTTATTATCCTCCTCTGTCAAAAGAAAAATAATCTCTTCTGTTGTAACTGTATTAATTGGAACAGTGTATCATTGTTTGGCATTAAACCTGAAAAATCCACATTGTATAGCAGATTTCAAAGTGGCATTTTGGTTTGGGGTCCCAGCCAGTCCACATCCCCTGATTGTCCCCCCTCACATAAAGCTACAGTCCTTATTTCTAAACAACTAGCATTCTCTGACACACCAAAATCACCTTTGTGTTTGTTTCATGTTATTACAGTTGGAAAACTTTCATTTCATGTGATTTTCCTTTTAGGAATTGCCATATTACTTGATTTAGGCCAAAACTGGTATAACTGAATAATTTGAATTTAAAACCATATTATTGAGTGGGCAGGGACATGGTCTGAACTATTAGCAAAATTTTTCAGATAACAGACATTATATAAAGAGATTAAACATTCCTAACTCAGTATCTAAAGACGATTGTTCCTTGTTTTCTGTCAGTGTTAAGTCTGGAGACAGTGATTATAAAATTTGTACAATTTTAACTAGTATTACCAAAAATATTGCAATATTAACAATTATTTTTTTTTTATTTTTTAAAGGTGCCAAATCAATCATTCAAGAATTTCCAGAGATCACAATTTTAACTACTGAAGTTCATCCTGTTGCACCTACACATTTTGGACAGAAATACTTTGGAACAGACTAAGTTATTACAGGAAAATGAAATAACTTGCATAATATTATGGTTGTAAATGGATTTCATATTTGTTTTTACTAATTTGAGAAATAATGGAGAAATGCATTAGGAATGCCTTTTAACATTGCAAATAGGTGTGGCAACAAGAAATACTGGAAATTTATTTGTTTGATTTGGTCATTTCTTCACATGTAGTACCAACTTCAGCAATGAAGTCACTGAACCCTCACTCAGTGCATGGAAACTGTCGAACTTGTGACCCTCTTGGTTTCGAGGTTGCTTGCCGCCGCAAAGAAAACCCAAACACTGCAGTTTAAATTTTCTTTACTGTGCTTTTAGCTCGAGAGTGCTTTCCTGTGTGTGGCTTTTGCCCCGCTCCATACTCTATATTTTCTTGTACTGTGTATGCAGGGATCTTGGAGAAGAGAGAACAAAAGAATATCCTAGAATTTTATATTGCTCTTTATGTTCTTGCTTAATTTGCAGACCCAGGATATCTGCTTAACTCTTTCAGCTAAGCTGATGTGTTCCTCCTGGCTCGTTTCCTCAACTGGGGATTAGCCATAGGTGCCTGCTCAAACTGTAATACAGGAATAAAAGATGCAGGACCTTTTCAGTAACCGAATCTGTAACATGACTCCAGAGAGACTGAACCAAAGATGCCTGATGATGATGAGAGAGCTAAATCAGCCCTCTACAGGGGAATTGGTGGGGGGTTTTCTAGTGTGTCGGTGGAAGTGGAGGCTTTGCTGCATTTCATGGCCACTAAGTAAATCAATATGATTTACTTATTTACTTCTACTAGTTGCTTTTGGTTTGGAACTTAGTTATTCTGCATGTTTTTTTTTTAACTAGTAGTAAAGTAGAGAAAACGTATGTTCATTAAAATATATAGTTTGTATGTGCTCATTTAAGCTTCTGAAAGAGAGATAAACAATCTTATAATCTTTGCACTTTTGAAATGTGCTTATAAAACCGTGATCCCATTTTACAGTGATATTAAAACTTCTGTGGTGGCTGGATGATTTCTTGATTATTTACACTCTCATGGACACACAGACAGCTATTGTGGACTCTGTTAAAAAGCATAAGAAATAACAGAAGGGAATTTCTTAGAAAGTACTAAAGCTGAAAAGATAAGTGAAGGCTTATTTTTTTTTCCCAATTTGTTTGAGAAATAATAGAATACGTTAGGAATGCCTTTTAACATTGGAAGTAGGTGTGGCAATAAGAAATACTGGAAGTTTATTTGTTTGATTTGGTCATTTCTTCACATGTAGTACCAACTTCAATAATGAAGCACACAGTGCTTAGAAAAGATGATTTCCTTGAGAGAAGAAAGCAACCTGGAGTAAATGGAGTAGATTTTACCCTATTATGCTACCCTGCTGAGCTTCACTGTACTTTTATTGTTGTTGTTGTTGTTGTTGTTGTTGTTGTTGTTGTTGTTCGAGACAGGGCTTCTCTGTGCAGACCTGACTATCCTGGAACATGCTCTGTAGATTAGGCTAGCCTCCAAATCAGAGATCCACCAGCCTCTGCCTCCCATGGGCTGGGATTAAAGGTGTGCTGAAATCTATATTTACATGTGTTAGTTAGGTGTCCTAGGAATGATGTGAGTAGCAAATTCAGACAGACCAGATCTGTTTATTGCATTGAATTAGTTGGAAAGATGATGTTCACTAATCTGGGTGTGGTAGTAATTTTGAGTTTGAAGCTAGCTTAAGTAACTGAGCCAGGCTTGTCTCAAAGATTTGCCTGCCAACCTATGGATTGCTGTGACTGAATTGAATTGGTGCTTGTTTGGGCTTCAGTATTTTGTTTGAAGTGATTTTCCAGAACATAGGATAATTTCATATTCAACGATAGGTATTAAACCACATTTCAAGCAAATTTTTTTTTTTTAATTTTGTATCGTAGGCTAACTTTGAACTTGTCGTGTAGTCAGTTCTGACCTTGAACTCCTGACCTTACTGTTCCCATTAGTGAAAGCTTACAGCCAGCATGCCCATCCTAAACAAATTCTTTTTATATCATTAACCATTGAGATTCACATATCTGTTGCTTTTCAGCAAGAAACAGGATTAAAAGTTAACTACATTTGATTCTCACATAGGAAGCTTAGTATAAACAGTAGGAATTATTCAATAAGGTCATTCTCCATTGGTATTTGTACCCTACACTTCTGCAGTTGTAACTCTGGTCTCTGAATTTTGGGATGTTTTAGCAAACAAATTCTTAACTTGCAGGGCTAATCACTTGCAGAACTCTATTTTCTAAAGTCAACATAAGATTAACAGACTACTGAAAGTAAGATTGACTTTAGTGACATGAACTTCAGAGCAGTATAAATTGTGTGGGTTCTTTATTGAAGAATAAAGGCTAGAGCAAAATGACATGCAAATAACACATAGCAGTGATTCTCAACGTATGACATGCATCATAATTACTTAGAGAGCCACAGATTGGTGGACCCCACCCCTACGGTTTCTGACTCAGTATCTTGATATCTAACATTGCTTCTAGGCATTTAATGATGTAAAACTTCCTATAAGGATTTAGCTGAATTTGCTACATTTTTATTTTAATTCAGGTAAAACCTTTTTTTTTTTTTCATTTTCTTTTTTTCTTCAACCCAGGGTCATTTAGAAGCATCAACTAATTGCAAATACTGATACCATTTGCCATATTTCTCTGATGTCCTTTGCTAATGTAATTCCGTTATGGTCAGAGAATATAATTTTTATTGTTTGAATCCTTTTAATTGATGAGGCTTTTGACATAGTATTCTGTTCATAAACTATTGTCATTTGATAAGTCTACTTCCTACCAACATGTTTACATGGCATGTATGCATGTCCTGTGTTGTTTGCTATGGATTTCAAGTTAAGTTGGTTGATAATGCTGTTCAGGTCTTCTACTTCTTCATTGACTTTGCTTTCCTCTTGTTCTACTGATTATTAGAAGAATGTTGAAAGCTCAGACTACGTGTTGTATTTGTTTCTTCTTTCAATTCAATGAAGATTTTGCTTCATGTACTTGGAGTACTCCTCGTAGGTAAATAGACAGCTAGGATTGTTGTAGTGTCTTGATGACATAACCCTTTGCCGCTCTGAAATTCTTCATTCGGTACCTGTTAATACTCTTTGTGCTGAAATGTGTTCTAGTTGATGATAATGACAATTCGAGCTTTCTTTTGAATAACTTTACTTTTAACATGCTCATGTTTTAATGTGAATTTCTTATAGGCACCTTTAGGGCTGTGTCTTGCTTTTTTTTTTTTTTTTTAATCCAGTTTGACAGTGTCTGCCTTTTGTTGCACCATTTCATGTAATTGACACGATTGGTTTTAGATCTACCATCTTGCTGTTTGCCTTCGACTTATTCTTTATGATTCCATTTTATGTCCTGATGACATTTGTGTCATTTCTTTCCATTAATTCCAACTCCAGGATGTTGGCCCAGTTCTTTCTCCTCTCTCTTTTTGAGACAGGGTCTCTGTTATGTGGCTCTGGCTCTTCTGAAGCTTACTGTGTAGACCAGTTGTTCTTGAACTCATAGTACTCTCACTAAAGGCCTGTACCACCATACTTAGCCAGCCCAGTCTCCTTTAAAGGAATACTGTTGTATTTTTTCTGAGCATTTGCATTTAATAGAGCAGATTAAGTATAGAAATAATGCATGAGTACATCCAACATTTGGAGGATTCCATGCAAAATATAGACTTGAAGAAGTTAATCCATCTTATAAAGACATTATATAGACTTCAATATTTTCTATTAATCTGATTATTTCTCTCTTGTCTTCCATTTTTTGAACTTTATGAACCTTCAGCTCATATGAAACTGCTTATATTATTTTGCTAACTACTTCTAGCTTCTCACTTCAGGCATTTTTCATTGATATCACATCTTGAAGAAGCTTAAATTAAATGGGTCAATAATGTATAATCATCAGTGCATTCTGTGACCTGTTTAACGTACTTGAATGACACCAGCAATGGTCACCTTCCATCATATCACACAGGGATAGCATAATTGTTGTATTCCACAGGTAACTAACATAACAATTACCCTTTCCCTCAAATAATTGGCTCTTGACCATGTGCCAGATATTCTTAGGGAAAGGTGATGTCATATTGAGCAGGATTTGTTTATGTTCAGGTTCCAAGTGAGTATATTTGTTTGTTTGAGCTGTTGTAACAAAATACCAGATTGGGTGGGATTTTGTTTTTGTGTTTTGGCTTTTTCAAGACAGGGTTTCTCTGTTTAACAGTCTTGGCCATCCTGGAACTCACTTTGTAGACCTTGTTTGGCTTGAACTCACAGAGATCTGCCTGCCTCTACCTCCCTGGTGCTGGGATTAAAACTGTTTACCCCCATTGCCAGGCTTAGACTTGGGTGGCTTTAACAACAGAAATCGTTCTGGCGGTCATAGGTCTAAGATCAAAGAGTTGATAGGTTTGTGTTTTTCAGAGCCTTCTCTTTGACTTGACTTTCCATGGTCTTTCCCATATGTATATCCTTGGTGTTCCTTTGTATGTTCAGATTTTCTGTTCCTATGACCATAGTCAGATTTTATTAGGAATTTTATTAATGACCTTGTTTTAATGAAATCACTTCCTTAAAAGCTCTAGCTCAAGTATAGTCACATTCTTAGGTACTGAGGGTCAGCAGTTCAGTATGGATTGAGGAGGCACATAATTGTAATGACATGATTGTAATGATAAAGCTTTTGTCAGTCCACACATTTTTTTCATTGAGACTGTTTCCATATGTGTCATGTGGTAGTGCCTGTTTTGTTTTTTTTTTTCTTTATTATTATTACTTTTTTCTTTTAAAGATAACATTTCTCTACATAGTCCTGGCTAGGCTGGTGCTCACTGATATCCACCCTTCTCTGCCTCCCAAGTGTTGAGATTAAAGGTGTGAGCTATCACTCCTGGAAGGACTGGTATCTTATGGAAAATCCAAGGGTGTAGTTAAGAATTATTTCTACTTCTGTGAAATCAGGTGTAACTTCCTTTGCTCTGTACTTGAGAGCAGGCAGTGCATATTAATGCAATGTTTTCACCTTCAGAGAAGTTATAAGTTTGGAGGTTTATAGGAATTCCACAAGTGTTGATGTGTCATTGCCTATCATCAAGGGCTATTGATTCATATCTGGGTTAGGCTCCAAGTGTTTCAAATTGGTCTAAAGACACGATTTGTTCATGATATAAGCCTTTGTCTATCTGTGAGTCCTAATATTGTCTAGCTTCATTCAAGGAATCCGTCATCCCAAGTTGCTAAAGCAAGCTGTCTTTCCGGGCTGATTCTTTTTCTTTTCCTGTCTTCTAGAAGAGTGACCCTTCTCCTAGTCTAATCTACTTAATTCGCCCTTTTCTTCTGAATTCCATTCATTTAAAGGCAATTCCTCTTGCTCTAGTAGTCACACTACTTAGTATGTAAGCAGAGAGAATGAAATTGCCATGCTATGTTCATTGAAGCAGTATTTTCAGTAATTAAGAAATAGAAACAGCCAAAGTATGCATGATAAATGTGTAAAGAAAATAGGGTACCTTTAGACAATAGGATCCTATTCGGCCATGCAAGGGAATAAAATTCTGTCATTTGTGACAAAATTGGATGGAACTGGAGATTATGTTAAGTGAGTGAAACAAGGCAGCCACAGATAAACATGTGCTGTATGATTCCTCTGTATGGAAACTGGTGACAACTGACCTCATACAAGTTGAGAGTAGAACAGTTGTTACCAAAAGTCTGGGGAGGTATGGATGAATGGGGAAAAGTTGAACAAGAGTCACTAAATCCTGGATACTCACATAGGAGAAACTTCTGTTGTGTTATTGCATAGTAGTGTTTCTGTAGATCACCATTAATGTACTATACAGAAAAATTAGGAGAAAATATTTTAAGTTTTTACTATGAAGAAGTGATAATGAGGAAGAAATAAACATTTAAAAATTATACATGTGTACATGTCCTGAAATATTGTATGGTATCACATTAATATGTACAAA